ATGCCTGCTTGGCCATCTTATCTGCAAGTTCATTGCCTTCTGTGCCCTGGTGTCCAGGTACCCAGTAGACTTTGATGGTCTTATGTTGATGTATAAGGGTTTTACAGGCTTTGCGATTTTCGAGTATATCAGTTGTTGTAATTCCTTTGTTTGTGGTTAAGAAGGCTGATATTATTGCCGGTTGACAATCTGATAGTAGTGTATTATGTAATATCGGGGCTTGTGGTGGCTGAGGTGAGGAATTCCAGTGCCAATTTCAATGCATGAATTTCGCCAATATAGTTGTTGCCAATCTTAGAGGTTGGTGATTCGATGCATATTGGGGAGGAAGACAATCCTTGATGGTAGATGATTGCTGCTGCCCCTGTTGGCTCTGGGTGATGAACCTATGAATACTATAGTGTCTTTATCTGGTTTTGAGGAAAGTATGGTGACTATATTGTCACTCAGTGTTTGTTTTCAAGACTATATGTTGGTTAAAGGTTAGTTCAGTGTGATATTGCAGCCAAGTATTTTCTTATGTGTCACTATGTCCAGCTTTTTTCCGCCGATGTGGATGTTTTAACCACCGGGGAAGGTCTGTTTGGTGGAGTGAAGATTAGAACTTCAGTTTTTTCAGGAGCAATTTCCATGTTCCATTTTCCACACCAAGAAACAGCTATTTGGTTAAGTTCTTCGTTGATTTGTGTTGATAACTTTACCATGCGCCCATATGATATTATCTGCGAATCCTGCTGTGGCGGATTTCACAGAGGTCATAGAGTCTTCAGTATAGAGAGGGATGGACTGAGAATTGACCCCTGAGGGATACCCACTTTTGATATCATTAGTGGTGTGGTAAAGTCATTGGTTGTGATTGAGAATTGTCGGTTGTTAAGGTATTCATGTAAATATACAAGCATTCTGCCTTTGATGCCTTTGTTAAACAGTTTGTATATGAGTACCTCTCGCCAAATTTGTTCAAAACAACTTTCATAATCCAGGACTGCTTCACGGTTTCTCCTCTTCCCCAGGCTTGTTGGATGGATTTTATTAGTCGGAGCACTGTTTGGGAGCAGGAGTGATGTTCTCTAAAAGTGTCCTGGAAAATGGAATATGAATTGGTTATTTCATTTTCCCAAGAGAGACGGGGGTTAATAATCCTTTGGAGTATTTTCCCTATGAGGGCTTCAAGTGTGATAGGGCGGTAGGCTCGGTCTGAGTTGTAGTTGGTTTTGTTTGGTTTATTGAGCATAATTTTGGGATCTACTTTATACTCTAATGGTAGCTAGCCTCTCCTGTTCCCAGCATTTTGGGGATAAGAACCAAAGAGCTTTGTGAAGTGTACATCCGCCTTTTTTATGAAAACACTCATAATCTTTTCCCTTGAGCTAGATGTCGTTATAGTTGGAGTATTTTGAATGGCCGAGATTACCTCAGAGAGGTCAATGTCTTTATTTTCCGGAGTGCATGAGTTGTTATAATCCGGAGATGCAATAATATCCCTTTCTTTATTTATGATTTAAGTGACTTTGTTGGTTACGAATGTGAACCATGTGCTAAACTGTTGGACTGGTAGTTGTTGTTTTCCATACTGAGCTACCATTGCTTGAGGTATATCCTGGTCCGTAGAATAGATGGTATTGACATCTTTAGATAGTATAGGTTGGACTATTTTTTTCTTTTATTTTGAGATTTGTTAATAGTTTTCCATACGTTATCTGGTCTGTGTGTATCGAGCTCCTTGAACACATCATCCCAATACTCAGATTCGCGATCGGCTTGTTGGGCCTTTCGGGAGAACTGTTCAGCGAGATATATGTCTCTGTACAAATATATGTCTTAATCCGCAACGAATATGGCATATTCACTTGTATGACAGATTCACCTGCGGTATATGGCATACACATTAACCAATGAGAACGCGATATGGAAGTAAACAATTGTCAATTACGTCGATTCGACTATGTGTTACACGCAAACACACACTTCAAGGGAAACATTATTACACATAGTCGGGCACATAGTCCTATACCAATTATCAGGTTACGTTCAGATAAACACACCACTTGATTACAAGAAAAGGAGGCTTGTGGCTGCAGTTTATTGCAACGTGTTGTAACTGCTATAACATACACACAATACCTAGATGAAATACAATGTTAACTTGATAAATGGCGAATATAAGTAAAAACTTATAACTAGCACTTAATAACGTTTTTCTGGTTGGGTCGATTGATTCTCAGAGTTATTAACACCATTAAAACCTCAAAATTTTGAGAACCTCCTAATGTGAGGCCTAAAAGGTATGCAACAACTCTTCAACCTATCGACTTTGCGAAAGTGATGTTCCTTTAAAAATAATAGCTTTTTGATGGAGTTTATCATGCGGCGCCAAAAGCCAGAATGAACAGCCTTATTTACCAAACAGCTATTCACCAAACAGCTATTCACCATACAGCTATATCAGTGAAAATCGCCTTCGATTTCAACGACACATACATGAACTGCACCCCACAAAAACTATAGAAATTATTTATATTCTAAATTCGTAAACTCAACCGAATATAAATTACAAATAAACCAACCTACGTTCGTGAAGCTTAGGTGTGTCTTTTACAACCAAATCAACAGTTTACAAAGACCAGATAAAAACCTGAAAACGCGAGTATTTGATGGCGGTTAATGCATTGCTGATACTTTCAGAAGTATCATTTACCGATCAAACGTAATGAACTTACGCAATCACTCCAAGATTTATAGTTAAGTGCTCGAAGCGATAAAAACAATGGTAATCCATTATAGTTTTACTTTAGTCTTGATTCTCTAAACCAATCAAATCAATGGAATTTTGTATGACGTTCACCGCGCAGTAAACCCAATATTCCGCAACGTGTATGTCATATTCTCCAAGTGAATATGTCATATTACGCAGGTGAATATGAGATATTCATCATATCATATTTCAATGCGGAATATGCCATACTCACTTGTGGAATATGTCAGATACCGCAGGTGGGGTATGCCATATTCACTTGTATCACAAATACCGCGCAATCATAAATGTATGCCATATACCGCGTAACATTTCTTACGGAATCTTTAGTCTTTCGTGAAATCTTTGAGAGTCTACGTTCCAGAACGTTTGCTCGATTTTCAAACCTATTTTATAGTTCACAAATAGCTGAATGCAGTGGTGTCTTTTGTTCAATAACGCCGTCGAATAGGATTCTTTTATTCAGAGACATAACGCATTTTATGACATAAATTAATGTCTCAGATTTATTTATTTATTTATTTTATTTTTATAGGCTAATTTAAAAAATAATGACATGTTAATGAAAGCGAACTTCGCGTATAAACCCAAGTGAGACATATAAAACAATGTTTTATATGTCTCTGCCTAAATATAAAACATCAAATGAAATTAATGGCATGCAAAAATAATTTTTTGAATGTTTTTGAACTTCAATGAGGTTGCAAAAAATTAGCTTATTTAAGATAATCTGTTTAGTTTGAAGGTATCTCCACGATTGACGAAGAATATGAACATACTAATTAATTCCATCCAGCCCTGGGCATCCAGTAGAGACATATAAAACATATAATGTCTCTGCATCCAGTAATCTATGAATTGTTTGGCCTGTAATCTTTCGGACTTTAGTAAGTTTTGTTGAGTCTGAGTAGCAGATCGAGTTGGTCTTACCCAATAAACACAGATCGATTACCATGCCATCTTTATTTAAAAATTATTTCTATCGACCTTAGCCTATGGTCTTACCCCGGGTCTTACCCACTTGCTTATCCTATGGCTTGTAACTATAATTCAGATTTCTAGTCCATGCTCAATTCAACCTTGTTGATTAGTCAACCCTAATTATTCAAATCCCAGGAATCAAATCAAGGCAATTTGACCGTCAACCTTATTTGGTCAAATGAAATGTATCTGTATTTGTTCACGTTAACAATATTTGGTCAAGTCAATCTTAACTGGTTAAGTCAACTATATTTGATCAAGTCAGTCATAGTAGATCAAGATCTAGAAAACCTAGATAGTCAACTCAATAATCTAATTTTGAGTAGGTTGATTATACAGTTCAGTTTGTCTAGCTTAAAGGAATATTCCTTGCCAAACCACCTCTCTCCTCATATGGTAATGGTAGCTATAACCATATATATGCTTGCCATGTTTAGCAGAACACGCAAAAATGTTTTGATATGGTCAAATTTGATCACTTAGAAATGTGATGCTCAATTCCAGTTAGCTGCCATCTTTTAAAATTTCACACAGGAAGTGATGTCATCGACTCTCAACTTTGTATATAGATTTAGGTGAGGAGCTATTAAGAATTACAAAACCAGCTAAATATTCTTTTTCAACTTTGTATCTTATTTAATCCTTCTGAAAATCTCTTCTTTTATTCTTAGTTGACAAGCCCTGAAAATATTTTTGCACAGAAAGTAATGATCACTTGTCTAGAAGTGATTTTGTGCTACTTTTGAGAGTTGATGACATCACTTCCTGCAAGAAATCTTAAAAGATGGCAGCTCACTGGAAATAAGCACTAGATTTTTAAATGATCAATATTGACCATATTAAAACATTTTCCCATGTTTTGCTAAATTTGGAAACTATATATATGATTATAGCTACCATATCAAGAGAGAAAGGGTCTGGCAAGGAATATTCCTTTAATAAACATAGAGTTCAATTCTGTGTCTCAAGCAATAATATAATATTAAAATACATTTTTAAAAACAATGCTTCCCTGAGCAGATGCCGGCTTATAAGACAGCAAATAGTACATGCATGGATAATATTCAACTTCCAATGTGAAATCACTAAATGCAGAATAAACAACGATAAAGACCACCTATATTAAATCCATTGTTCCTCTCCTTCAACTAAAAGGAGATATATATCTTCCCCAGGGTTGATGTTCCTATAAATAAGAGGAAACAGTCAGCCACACTTGATCAAGTCAACCTTATTTTATCACATCAACCATGGATAAGTAAACCTTATTTGGACAAAAGTCCACCATTGCAACTCAACCCCCCCAAAGGCCTCTAACATTTTTCACCATCCACATTGCGGACCAAATCTATTGTATTTCCAGTATTTCCAGCTTGACATGTTTTGTATATTGCCGACAATGTTGAAAAACGTAGGCAATAATATTGTATTGTATTTTTATATATTATATATGGAATAAATGAGAAATGGAAAAAAACATTTGGTTGCGCACCTTTGCACACCAGACGACGTTCTTTGAGATTTGCTTTCAAATATGAAGTATTTATACCAAAAAGTTCAGGTAAAATGAACTTGAACACATTAAACCGAAATATTACAAGACATGAGCTGAGCCCTTTGAGCTAAACAAGGTCGACTTCTATAGGACATTATATCGAATCACATTAGGCAGAAGAGCGGAAAATGGAAAACTCAACGGAAAATTTAAACTGGAAACTGAATACTACTAATAGTTCCGTGGAAATATTGCAATTCACATACAAACCCTACATTGAAGAAAGTCCTGGAAAATTCGCAGTTCTTGTCTTGTTTGCTGCAACGTTCTGTTTTTTGGGAGTTTTCGGCAACGTTCTGACTATCATTTCGATTGTCAAAGAAGAGGTACGTTAAAACCCGGCGACATTCACACGGCAATGGTAGTGTCAGTAGCTTAGTAAATTATTACTCGAGGTCTGTCGACTATCGGGCATATACTTCCCTTTCCAGATGCGATTTTTTCTTCATCTAATGTATTTGACCTTAAAGGTTAGTAAAAGAAACATGTTCTTACAAAACAAAGAGGTTACTATTGTAACTTAGCATGGTGTCTTTTGAACGTCTTATGAATATGCCTGTGTCTAGGGGCATTGACCCGATTGAAAAATCGAGGGAGTACGAGGGGGTTGTCTGAATGATTTAAAGAGGTTATGAATAAGAGGAAATTGAATATGGGTTTATAACGAGCGAAAATAAGTTACCGAGGGAAATATCATATTGACTAATATATGATGTAACATTTTGAACATTTTAAAATGGCCATATGGGCCAGTTTTTGAAATAAAAAAAGTATTTATGAAAAAAATTATGTTACAGGTTCTTAGGGTTCCTGAAAATTGCTTCATCATATCTCGAGCCATATCAGATATAATTTTAGCTGGAATGATTCTACCACTTACCATAGCAGGTGAGGTGATCATAAACAACCCTATGCCCATAGTACAATAACCACCTTATTTCTTTTATGCAGCAATATCCCTATACTCATTGGAGTTAGTATCATCAAAGATGGTGGTCAGAATTCTTTCGATATCAACAAATCTTTGATTTCAGCTAAGTCGAATATTTCGTTTGTAAACAGTCGGTTGTAAATTACTTCAATGGGATGCTCAAACGTCACCGAAATTTCAGATTGTTTGTAAAGGGTGATACTAACTCAAATGGATGATAATTAACTTAATATGATATTCACCATTAGGGAAAATAACTCAATAGAGATTGACAATGAGCTGTTGTTATTCATACTTACAAGATTACAACATTTTAAATATGACCTAAAATAAAAGCAATTTATTTTTTACAAAGTACACAGTACTGCAGTACGATTATTTTTCACTCAATGAATGATTTTTAATCAAATAGTACTGTCTGCTGCGTGTATTCTTATAAAATTCTTCCATCGATTTTTAATTGTTGTAAATGAATGTGCCTTCTCGACGAAGGTAAACAATTTTTTATTCCCATTTTATTTGCTTGTACTCTATTGGTACAGCATTTTAATTACATTTTACACTGAACGTTTTTTAATTGTTTCATGTTCTGAAAAATACACCGACTGTTCAAGAACACGATTAAACACTACATATATACTTAGAATTTAAGCCAGGACAACTAAACTTGTACTTACATTTTGCTATTGGTAAAAAACGAGGTTTATCGAAATCGAATTTTGTCCACCATACGTTAGTACCATCCTCAAAGTGATCCTGTATCATCTTGCTGTGGACCAGTTGATGTTGATATCATCACCTGTTAAAGCTCACCTTTACCAAATAGTGATGCATTTGTTGAATTATTGATTTATGATTAGGTGTTGTGAAAGGAGAAGCCTACTACCACCAAAGGGCCACTCTATGTAAGGCCCTTGCTGGAATCTGCTGCTTGGTCTGCTTCTGTAACTGGTGGACGCTCGCATCTTTGTCTGTTAACAGGTATACGTAAAATATACATGTACGTCCTAGTCTAATAAAAGGGAGTTTAAGCTTGCATATAAAATCGAAACGCCAACCTATGCTTATGACCAACCACCCATACAAATGCATCGCTTAAATGTTTTCCGTTCACGATTAGGTTTTGAAAAACATTGCAAGCTTAAACTCCCCAATTTCTGAGAATGACCCGAGAGTGGTCGAGAGGAATATAGAAACGTTTTTGCTGAATATGTATGCGCAAGTGCAAACGGGAAAGAACCAAAAGTGATTACAGAACACAGTAAGAAAAAGAAAACATCTTAAAAGAGTATACCAAGCTGCGATACACAGGCATTTAGGAAAACAAACCTCAGCTATCCCAAATCATAATCCAACGTGTCAAATACCCCATCCCCCATTCAGGTACAGATATCACAATCCGAGACCATCGTCAAAGAACAATTCATTCATACTGAAGTGATACTTAGAAGAATAAAAAAATATTCATAACACTAAATACTCAAAACATCAAAAATAGTAGTAGACACCACAATCGGAGGAAGTGTAAATTGTCACTTGTTACTTTTTGTGACTGAAATTCCCTACAGAATTTCCCTGCTCGTCACGTAATTTCCTGATTTTGAATGAATATGTTTTTTTAGAAACAATAAAAGGCCAGTGCGGCAAATTAAAATATGGTCATATTACTAAATAGAAGTTGATTTTGACCTGTGATGTGCAGACATCAGTTCAAAAGCACCAATATTGCAATAGTGGAGTGACATTCTACATTTCCTCTAAATTTAGTATTCAGTCATGGATAAACGATGAGTCTTGGGTATTAGGAAAAATAATGGCCAAAAGGGCGATAGCCCCGATGCCACACACACAAACCACACACTAGGCACTGAATCTTATTAAAGGTAAATGGCCCATGATCCGATTTTAGGAAAAATCTATTGTATCGACTATGAGGTAATTGTATTAAGAAATGAGTGGATGTGATTAGTTCAGCTTCAGTGCACTGTGTGTAACAGTTTGATCTCTAATGTGTTAACTATTCAGATATTGAAAGAGTGGAATGGGGTATAATTAGTTCAGCTTTAGTACACTGCTTGTGACAGTCATCATCTTTTGTGCCACACAGCTGGTTTTGGATAGCTTGCCAAGTCTACATTATTTAAAAGCAAATAGCAAAATAATGCACTCCTCTTAGTTATTACCCAAGTGGGGTTTAATACAAAATAAAACATTCAGTCTCAAATGATTTGGGATAGACAATATGAGAATTATACAATATACAAACCCTGCAACTCAAAATATCTCCATTTTATTATCTTTTCCAGATTGTTTCTAACATGGTTTCCCCTAAAATCACGCGCAATTCTTACTTGGAGGACGACGCCTGCACTATCCATGTTTTGTTACGTCATCGGTTTCTGTGTAGTGAGCCCTGCTTTATTTGGATGGAGTGTGCTTGAGTTCGACCCTGAGATGATGGTGTGCATGGTTGATGTCGACACTCTGCATTATAATACGTTTATAGTTCTTGCTAATGCCATTCCATCATCAATTACGTTTGTAACATTGGTATTGACCGCCATAAAGATGAATTCTAAACGTCGTCAGGTAAGTACATGTACGCTGTATTTTAATGTATTGGCGGTGCAATATGTTCTGAGAGTGAAACACGTGTTTCAAGAGGAATAAAGCCTGTATCTGAAATCGACCGTGCATATACACACACTTTTTTTTAAAAAAAAGTAACAATCGTCTTAATGTACTTAAAAGAGCAACAACAATGATAAACTAGTAAATAAACTAAACTAAAAAATCTACACTAAATTAGTTTTTAATATACTGGGGATTTGCTAAATGGAATTCTGTTTTTTTTCAATTACTGCATTAGTGACGATGATTTTAGTCTCAGGAATCTCAAATTCAGCCCAACACAAGACTCTGTGGAATTCCCCAGCAAATACAAAACTATTTTGGTGTAGATTGCTTTTATAGTGAACGAGTATTTCAATTGCACAATTTTCATGAAGGATAAAATAGCAAAGATAAGCAATTTTGCGATTCTGGCCTTATTTTATGACTAGATAAATGTTTGATCTGTAAGACATACACTCCCCTCCATAGGTTTGGCAATCTTAGCTCCCTCATTGAACGCCTCTTTATGTTTGAATTTTTATTTACATAACCTGTGAAGAAAATACTTTATATTATTGGGAATGTAACTTGACGTCATTTCCAATGCCTCCAAATCTTCCCAATTTTTCCTCAATTACACTAAGTCGGAAATGATGATTTTGATGAATTTTTGAAAATCGTCATTCCCATGTAAACCAATCGCAAATGGTGGGTTCGGGGCAAATCTAATTTTAGGATATCTATCCAGAAAAGATTCCCCAAAAATATTTTATATAGAAATTGATTTGTCTAACCTTTTTTGTAAGCTAAGTGTTCAGTTTACTTTATGAATACTAAAGTTACAGAGACATTTTGAAAATCTTTTTCGCCTCCTGTGTTATTTCAAGGGGAGGAGTTTTTTGAAAAATAATTTTGACTTTGAAGACCTATAACTTTATTAAACCTGAAAAAACGTATCAATTGTTTATTAGATAAAGTTAGCAAATTCAATTGACTATCTAACTTGTATTTTTTGCAAGAACTCGGATGGATGAATTCGATGACTTGCAGCAAATTTACCATTTCTCATTGGTTTACATGGGAATGTCGATTTTCAAAAATTCATCAAATTTATCATCAATTTTCGACCTATTGTAATTGAGGGAAAATTGGGAACATTTGGAGGCATTGGAAATGAAGTCAGGTTACACTCCCATCAATATTATACGCATTTTCTTCGCATGTTATGTAATAGAAATAAAAATTCAAACATGAAGAGGCTTTTACACGTAGTTCAATGAGGGAGCTAAGGTTGCCAAACTTATTGAGAGGAGTGTACATGTAGGCCTACAAGTGAATCAATGCATTTACAATTTCAGCACAGGAGATTGAATAATCTAAATATTTAAAAAATTGATCCCCTTCAAAGATTGTATCACGCCCTACCTACGTGGGTAACTGGGTACGAGGTTTTTTATTCAAAACCAAGCCAATATGAAGTTGTGAGATAACATTGTGAGTAAATGTAATTTTTGATTTTCTGTCTTTTTACAGTTTGCAGTTGTTGGTCCGGAAGTCGATGTGATGGAGTCAACCGCTTTTGTCTCTGACAATGAAGACAAAAGTAAAGCCAAACAACTTCTGAAGGAATTAAGGGACGCTGCGATGTCAGTCAAAATGATTGCCAGCCTATTTGGCGTGACCTTTTTGTTATGGCTCCCACTAACCGTCGTTATGCTGTCGCACCATGCACTTAATTATGGGCGCGATATTTGGGCCTTCTCCCTTTTAGTCGCCCATTTACAGCCTGGTGTTGATTGCTTCTGTTATGTCTTTGTGAACCGTTATTTCAGACGGGGATACAAAAACGTGGTATGTTTTGTATTCTGTGGATGGTCAAATGGGAAATGTATATGTAGCAGTTAAAGTTCCCCCTGTTGAAAAATAATGAAAATGGACTACTGCCAGTAATTATAAACCTAGGAACGCTGCTCATAGACTTAGAGCGCAGACTTCAATAAAATCCTTGCAAAGCTCAAAAGCTTGTTAGAATACATAGAATACATTTAGGTCTAATTACGAATTCTATGAAAATCATATGTACAGTACATAAAATTATCATTAGCAAATGGAGTTACAATGCAAGTTCCAAAAATTGTATTTGCCATGTGTTTTGATGCATACTATACTTTATGTATTTTAGGGATCCATATACGTGACTTAATTGCGATAAAAATATAGCTACACATACTGTACTATGACAAAGACGACCCAATTGCCTTGAATTGGATATATAGAGTGTAAACGATGGGGCCAATGCAATTAGCGCCATAAGTATAAAAAAATTGAGCCAGGCGAATGAGAAAAATAATATCAGGAGTTTCATGTTTAATCTAACATTGGATTTACCCATGATTATGATCGAATTGTTGCTTTGATTTGCACAAATTAAAAATATTATAGAGCGAAAGTAAATTTTATCATACGCATCTGCGCCTGATAAACTGAGCTTAAATGTACGCACGGGTTTGCGACAAACGACTCTTAGAAAATATGACCAGATCTCGTAATATCAGAAATATGACTCAGTAGGACGGCACATTGAAAAAAACCATTGTTGTTTACCAAACTTTATATCAAAGTGGTGTAGCGATATATGACGTCATCGCACTACTTGTTTCTGGTCCGTTGGCTACCATCTTTATGAGGTCCATTGAAATGGTAAACATTTAAACATTTGAAAATGAAAGTGACGGATAGAATTCTACTAATCTCTTCTTTCGAACTATCTCATTTTAATGTTAGAAAAATGCACATGAATGGGAGTAAAATGCAATCAAACACGTGAGACTTTCACTCATTTTGTACCCTATATTCGTGCGAAATTAGCATTGATTAAACATCGTTTTTTTTAAATGTCTGAATCGCTTAAAAGTTAAAGTCAATACGATATTTTATAAGTTCCAAATATCAATCAGTTCCGATAAAATGCCTTCATTTGTTACATTTTCTGCGAAAACGGTTGGGCAGAATTTCGGTAGAAATGTGTATTTTACGACGTTATATGCATGGTTGAATCCAAAAAGTAGAGTCATTCAGAAAATTATCATGTGTGCGTAAAAGCATGTGGATATTTCATTTTGAGTAACTGAATTATCAAATTGACATATATATTGTCTTTGGAACATCGCCTCTACACAGAATTATTTTCATAATGATTGCTCGTTTTGTTCCATGATAAAATGCAATTTTAGACCTGCAGCTGACTCATATCAAAAATTATTTAGCAATGAGTTCAGGCTCACTGATTTTTAAGATAGATGAAATGAACAAAAAAGGGAAAGGGTTATGTGTGCGGTAAAGCATGTGGATATTAAACTTTCAATAAATGAATTACAATTTTGATGTTTATATGATCTGAAGAACATCACCTTTACACATAATTATTTTTATAATAATTGTTCGATTTCTTTCATGATAAACTGCAATTTTAGACCCGACATGTATTAAAGAAGTATCGGACAATGTATTAAGGCTCACTGATTTTTAGGATGAATAAAATGAGCAAAAGGAGAAAAGGTCACGTGTGCGTAAAAGCGTGTCAGTATTTGGATTTGAAGAAATAATTTAAAGTTTTGACATTAATATTATTTGTGAAGCATCACCTTAACATAGAATTATTTTATAATTTTTGCTTGGTTCCTTCCATGAGAACATGCAATTATAGACCTGGCACGCGTATCAAAGAAGTATTTGGCAATTGCGTCCAGTCTCTTTGGTTTTCAAGGTAAATGAAATAAGCAAAACTGGAAAAGGTCATGTGTGCGTAAATGCGTGTCATTATTTAATTTTGAAGAAATGAATTAATTTTTTGACATTAATATTATTTGTGAAGCATCACCTCTACGCAGAATTATTTTTATAATTTTTGCTTGGTTCCTTCCATGAGAAAATGCAATTATAGACCTGGTACACGTATCAAGGTTGTATATAGCAATTGCGTTCGGTCTCCTTGGTTTTCAAGGTAAATGAAATGAGCAAAACTGGAAAAAGTAATTTTTGATAATTTTTTTGACATTTTTGACATTTATTATATCTATGGGGAATCATCTTTACACAGAATTATTTTTTGATTCAAATTTAGTCCCTTCTATTAGAAGGGCATGGCTAAGATTGGTTCATATGTATAACTGTAATGAGATTTTTATGTTTGAATCGCACAAAAAGAGATAATGTCACATGTGCGTGAATGCATGTCAATATCTCATTTTAAAAACTGAATTATGATTTTGACATTTTCATAAGCTTTAAACCATTGCCTTTCCACATATTTATTTTCTTAACATGAGAACTTTAAACACGTTCTAAATAAGAAAGGCCAATGTGAGTTGAATTAAAATTAAAAAAATATCAATTATCTGCGTATTTTCGTTATATTACGTCATACGGGATTTCGTGCTTTAAGTGGGCTGAAGGTGAAGAATGGCACGTGTACGAAAACGTTTGTTACCAATTCATCTTTCAAAACACATTTTTATTTTTTACATATCTATGATCTATGATATATAACCTATGTAAAGAATTATTTTCAAATTAATTGCTTGGTTAATTCAATAAGCAATTCTGAGGTATATTTGAACTTTAATTCCATAGCAGATGTAATTCGGACAAAGGTTTTAAAATTCAAGAAGAGATTCAATCAATCAAGATAAACTTATGATTCAACCGAGTCGACAATACTTGGTTCAGTTCTTTCATTTTCAATCATACCATGGTCATAGATTAACATAAGTGACCGTTCGAAAACATACCATTTTTGTAGAAAATGAAAGAAAATCGCGTTATAACATGTATCTAGTGCCAAGTTTACGTCTTAAGTTTGATGTGGTAAACAGCATTCTTCATTAAGTCACACATATAAGTTAAGGGAAGCAAAAGATCATTTTAAAAATGAAACATATCAATAGATATTTTTAACATTGAAATACTTTTAGAAAGTAAGCTTATACTAGTATAGTAGATTTGCAAGAACTAGCTGTTTGGAATTCATCAACTTTTCTCCACAGGATCATTTCGTAGTACAAATGCAGGTCATTCAAAGGAAATTTAGGTCTCAACATCCCCGTCTATGAATATTGATCTTTTTCAGACAGCAAAGGTAAGTTTAAAACAGAAATACTTCTTACGAATCCAAATTACATATTAAACTTAGAATTGTGATCTACGATCTTATGGGTATGTCACAAATTTGATTAGATACATTCGCTCAGCACGCCGTTAAACATATAAATAACTTTACAAGCGTAACTATAGGTAACTTCGATTTTAGCATGTTCAAATTCAAGTTCTGTAGTCTCGAGAGTCAAACGATTATCATAGTTTATTTGGCCTGCTTTTAAAATTGGGAAAACAAAGGCAAGGTTTATGTTTTATGAACATTCTGATTTGATAGCAAACTTTATTTTTGAGTGTATTAAATCAAATAAAGCTTATTGCGTCGGGACCTGTACGTTCGCCAAATGTGCCGTCAATTAAAGAAACATGCACAGTGGTACACCGTTTTTGGAAAACATAACACTGATAATAGAAATTCATCAATTGTTATGAAATTTGCACCATCATTAAAAGGAATCTCGAATTTCATGATGACAAAATATCGGATAAATATGACAAGAAATAAAAATTTGTTACATTTTTTCCCAAAAAGTTGTAAAATAAAAATAAACTAAAAAAATAATATTTTCACGACAAAAAATAAATAGTTCAACTGTTTTGATTCTACATGACGTTTTCAAAGAGTAGAGAGCTAGATTCAAAGCACCGTTCCTGCAAGTTTCAAATGAAAATATTAAAAACTGCGCGAGTAAGAGGACCGCAACTTTTTATGTCTACACTGACAAAAACGTGAAATTCCCGTTGTAAAGATATAGTCCCACGCGGAAGTGCACGTCATAAAGCTGATGGGTTAAGGCAATGTGCCGTCCAACTGACTACGGTGTTTTCATTCTGATAACACATGTAGTGATTTGAGAAAAATACTGTGAAATGAAGCTTTAATTGGCAAATGCAAATAACGGCTGTCGGCTACCGGATTAACCTTCTATTCTATGGGCAACTCATTTAAATATGAATAGAACATGCCTCTTTCGTCAGCTGGTGAATACTCCCATATAGTGCTCCCTATACAAGTTTTGTGACCAGAAGTCCCCATTTGGATAACTTGTATATCAAAGCCTTTATTGCGATTTAAAAAATATTAACAGCGTCATAAATATCCGATCATACGAATTAACGAAAACAATTTAGATTCAAAAACTGACAAGCTTTAATATGCTCACTCTACTATACCTTGCATTTAGTGTTCATGAGCAACCCATTTGGCTTAATAGTAATGATTATGTTATTTGTTTTTATTTGTTTGTTCCTTATGAATGGTTTATCGGAAGACTGTTAGATAATAATAAGGTACTTGCAAAATATACTAGACGATACAATTAAACAAACCGAGTATCTTATGCATTTCTAGGGATTAGGTATTGTAGAGTGATGCTATATAATGACAACTTACAGTTACAAATCTTATTGAAGGGAATTTATGATCCCAAATTTGCCTAAATATTTGCTGTTTGTGAGTGAGATATTGACGGCAGTTATACCCCATCATCAGATCCACGTACAGGATCAATTTCTAAGCTGCCATGATGGTTGCCTTTGTCTATATCAGTGTTGGGGTCTTAACTGAAAAAGTAGTGATGAGGGGACTTGAATGCCGCTTCAGTCTTCTTCCACTTCCCTTCCACACGGCTCTCATCTTCAGTGACAATTCATGTATCCGTGTATGTTTCATGGATAGTCACGTCGAATTAAAACAAGGCATTAACATGACAAAATGTCACCACCTAGTTGCTCATATTATTAGTTCAATCTAAAGTCAGATTTGAACTTTTAATAATTTGTAGGTGATTTTGAAAAAAAAATTGGTCAATTTGAACATGGACTTTCAGGTCCGTGATTTGAAGCAAGTTGAAAAAATACCTTTTTAGCCTTTTTTGGCATTGAGAAGGCCTTTTGAAAGTCTTTTGATAACTTGCAGGTTATTTTGAAAAAAGCTGAAGTCAGTCTAAACAGTATCTGTTAAGTAATTGGAAGTTTTAAGACCACATAAGTTTTCATTCTGTGACATCACAAAGGGGCACGTAGGTTATCGCAAACAATTTCAAACGATTGTAACTTGAATTATGAATATTCTCTGATCATGAACATGGGCGTATCTTTTAGATCCATTCATTATCTTCAAGAAAACTATATATAATGATAATTTTTTAGTTAATCAGACCTAAGTGATATTGTCAGAAAATAGTCATAATCCAAGATATAACCTTCTGAAATTGTTTGCGATAACCCACATGCTCCTTTGCAAGAAAATATGTAACAATGGAAACAAATTTAAAAAAAATAAATTCAGGTTTATTTCTTTTCAGTTTGAAAAAGAGGTGCTTTTTATCATTTTTTTCATTTTGGTACCCTGACTCCAATTGCCATGGTAACTATAATATAACCAATCAGATGTCAGAAGTTATATATATGCTCTAATTAAGAAATGCACAAGGTATATTCTGACCCAATTTCAGGATGTTTGGACCAATATTCCCAAAATGCCAGATACTTTTACCTTATTTATTGATCACCCTGTAACTTATACTGGGTCTTGGGAGGTCTTGTTAGTTAACATTATCAGTTAAAAAAAACATCTGAATTCGTTTCGCCGTATTGGCTTGTTTCAGTTAAGGACTTGTAACTTTTTACATCTGGATCATTGGTAGACCATTTACATAATTTTTATATCGATGGACTTGTAACGACCCTTGGGCACGTCCGTCGGGAAGCTGTAATGTAACGAGCCAGAAAGGGAATGTGTAATTCAATGCCAAGTGCGGGAATCGAACCTAGGACAAAATAGGATTCTACGGATTCGGCTAAATGGCGCAAGCAACTTCAGCCGAGACTGCAGAAGCGACTTGTCATCGAAGGTTATTACGCCAACCCTCCTGGAAGACAACGTCCCGTCGAAACTGATTCACAAGGGCAATCCCACATCTGACTCCACTGTAACGACCCTTGGGCACATCCGTCGTGGAGCTTTAGCAAAACGAGCCAGATACTAGACCCGAAAGGGAGTGTGCTAAATTCAATGCCCAGTGCGGGAATCGAACCTAGGAACTTCCGCGAGGCAGACGCTCTATGAATTCGGATAAATGGCTCAAGCCACTTCAGCCGAGACTGGTAGTAGCGACTTGTTATCGAAGGTAATTACAGACTCATTATGATACGATTTGTAGTCTTTATTATGAGACATATTAAAGTGGTCACTGATATGAACGTGAATCTTTGGTTTCTTTTTGGTATTGAGTGAAACATCTTGACTTAAGACTAAATAACAAACTATCAACTCTCTGTGAAAGGACTGCAGTTGAAGAAATTCAGTAACTAGTTTGGCAATATATTATTGGGAGAAATTTTTAAAGAACCCAGGAAATGTTGAAAGTTAACTTTCAACACAACTACGTAAGACATTTGTGTACACTATGGCTTCTGCTTCTCCTCGGACTAAATTCTGGTGTTATATCAAGACATCAAGGTAATTCTTATATATCACGTTTGGCTGTATGGCGAAATTGAAGTATGTGTATTAGCACATATATGAATATTGCAATGAGAAGAGAGTTTTACTATTGCAATGAGAAGAGGATTTACTTCCGGCTTATCGAAACAAAAATGAAATGAAAAAGTGCATTTATCAACCCTCTGTGCAAGTCTAAACTCACCCTATGCAGACAGAGCCTGTGGGAAATATTGGGTGCGGAGCAAATGAGCGGAGGGTGCGGAGCTAACGGTTATTTTTGAATTTAAATTTGGGATATTTCTGAAACTAAGCCGTTTTGGGACTTCAAATATACCAAGATATGTGTATTTGACACCAAATATCAATACAATTGTGAAAATAGTAGCGCAATTCATTCTATAGCGACGCAGTGTGCCTTAAACCTTTCCCAGACCTATATATTTTGAAATTATCCTTTTAATACTGAGTCCCCAGCATTCATAAAAAATGGTGTTAAAGGTGCACTATCTATACAAATTATTTTTGCATCTTGGAAGCCAGGCAGTATCTGTGTGATTTTATAAAAATTCGGAAATTTTTTCAGATATGAGCCCCCTCTAAATATTGGGTGCGGAGCAGCTCCATAAACGTAGCTCCGCACCCAATATTTAGAGGGGCTCATATCTGAAGAACATTTCCGAATTTTTAATAAAATCACACAGATACTGCCTGGCTTCCAAGATGCAAAAATAATTTGCATGGGTAGTGTATCTTGAACACCATTTTTTATGAATGCTGGGGACGCAGTATTAAAAGGATAGTCTCAAAATATATAGGTCTGGGAAATGTTTAAGGCATACTGCGTCGCTATAAAATGAATTGCACTACTATTTTCACAATTGTATTGATATTTGGTGTCAAATACACATATCTTGGTATATTTGAAGTCCCAAAACGGCTTAGTTTCAGAAATATCCCAATTTTAAATTCAAAAATGACCGTTAGCTCCGCACTCTCCGCTCATTTGCGCCGCACCCAATATTTCCCACAGGCTCTGTCTGCATAGGGTGAAACTATACCTTAAGAATTTAGATATTAGAAATCATTTTAAATTCCATTTCTAAACAATCAATAGATTGGGACATCAACATCCTCATCTGAATATATAGAAGCTTGAAAATTCCCCTCTTCGTTTTTTTCAATTTGCAACCTTTTATTATCGGTGCATAAAAATCAAAATCAGACTTTATACTTTGGCAAAGAAATATGAATTTCAATTTTGTTAACCCTATTTAAGTGTTCGGTACCTGATTACCTAATCACACCTGTTTTCTACACAAACCTTTCTACCATTCTTCGAGTCCATGCGTCTGAATTCCAAATCTCAGTAGTGTTAACTATTAACCAACGAACTGGAGTGATTCGCTTGTGCTGTATAATGACCAACCGAGGTTCATTCCCAATCCTAGAGCGATAGTTCGTTCAGTGTGTCAAAGCAATGGCAAAAGAATTGTTTATGGTATTACCTGAAAACATACTTAACTTTACATAATTTTACTAAAGCAAACCCAAATAATTGAAGTAATGCTTTGATCACCTCTCGATTGTTTTTAGGTAATAGCTTTGTTAGGCAATACGATGAAAACTCAATGATAGAATCCGAAACTAAAGTCAAACAATAATGGCGGTTCAATTTTGTATCACATATAGCTAGGTAAGGTGTGTTTCTGATTCCAGCCAATCCAGTCGAAATGTTGAGGCATGCGCAGACCTCTATTTAGTGATATTTTCATTTCAAATATGGCGGCCAATCCGATGTCTGACGACCCTTACAAGGAATCTAGGCAGTTTGCATTTTTACCTCCTGTGAAATAACAAGTGGAATTTAGTAGTTGTTTTGTGTTTTATTATCATTCTGCATCGTAATATATTCTATGTGATGTGGTGTTGAAATGTCAGCAGAAATACATATCCATACGATAATCGAGTGAATCAGATAACAGATTTTTCGAAAACCCGTCTCGTGCTAAGAGTGTAAAAACTTGTATTAACATGCTCAAAAGTGCCAATGTGCACATCAATGTCAAGCTAAATCAATGTTGTGTCTAAAACAGGTACCCGATCTACTCAAAACAGCTTGTCATTCACGTATACACGCTTAGCAAACACGGCGAAATGACCTGAATCTTGGAATTTCGTTCGAGAGCTAGTAATGTTTGCTCCGGTCTTCGTCATAAGTGTTCATCAGACTTCACGCATGCGCAGGAGAAAAATCATCAACCAATAAGGTTTATAAATCAATTTTGCGCATGCGCCTTACAACGGTAAAAAAATTCGTATTTATAAACGAACCAGTTTGAGATAACCCGATATCAGTCGGAGAAATCTGACGATCTACGAAACTCACTTCAAAAAATCAAATGCGGACTGACGGCGTATTCTACTATGTTTGGATCTAAGATTTTCAGTATAGATAAAGTCTTTTATGATCTTTCGAATGAGGTTAGTCTCTAGTTCGAAAGACAATCGTATCAACTTGAACAAAAGTTGAGTTTTGACGAAAAATTTTAACATGCGCAGAAGTCCCATTTTCGTTGTACCATATTGACTGAATCCGGACACAGTGCATGTATTTCATATAACTACACTGCATTAAATAACCAACAACCGCACCCAATGTCATTCATTTTATGGTTGTCAAGGTAACAACTTGGCTCTGCAGATTGAAATTGATGCTTTGCCAACTTGACCCTTGCAAAACGTTTCATCGAAAATATGTTCTTTTAGTGATTTCGTATCTTTTAGGTGATTTCATGTATTTTGCAATGTGTGAAAATAACTTAATTAGCCCAAGATTTGATGCATTGTGGCTGATTCATTCCACCAAGGCGTCATTTCAATTACCTTATACTCGATGCTGCGCATCTCGTGGAAATGTTGAAAAAACTCTTTGAAGAATAGTGGTATTCTTATCACACGAAATTCATGATGATGAATCTAACCGTATTGGTTGGCTGATCATGTTTAGGGGTGTGTCAAAATCGATCACTCAACGCAATGATCGCAAGAGGATCGACAAGTAATCCTGGGAGGCAATCCTCTTTGGTTGATTTAGCAATTTTAATGATCCGTCATAGAGTTTTTGAAATGTTATGAGGGGCTCGTTGAATTGTTACATTAGCAGAAAGGGTAAAATACAATATTAAAAATATGATGAGAAATGAGTAAGATATGAAAAAACTGATTCTGCATTCAAGAAAAAGGGCGATCAACCTGTACATGGAAAATTATTATAATATTTTACTTATGGTTAGAAAGATCAGTTACGTGCTATTTTCGTAATTTATTATATTTATATAAATAAATTGAGTAAATAAAAAAGTAAGTGCTAGGTTGAGACAACACATTATAAAACTGATACTTATACAAAAATATACAAAACTGAGTCATATTTATAACTAAAATCTAAGTTTGAAAGATCTTTAATTGCACAATTCGCATGGGAATTTTGCCACTCGAAATTGAAACGGGGTAGATTTAGAAATGAAAAATTGGAAAATAGAAAATGTACTTTATGTAAATCTGGCAACATTGAGGACGGGGAACATTTTATTTTTCATTGCACATTTTATAAAGGAAAAATATTTTCAAAATCATCAAATTTTTGAAGAAAGAGAATCAACTAAAGAACTGAGGTTTCAGTAAAAAATGCCTCGGCATGCTGCTCATTTTGTTAAATTTTGCTATTTTAAAAGAAGAAATGCAATTTATAATATTAAATGAATTATACTTGTGTCAAAAATATGTAATATTTATAAACAAGTATCTTTACTTTTATTGGTTGATAAGCCCATGTGGGCTGGGTTGTTATTTTATTACTTTTGTATTGTACTGTATTAACTGATGTCAACCTACCACTGTAAATCACAATAAAGCTAAACTAAACTAAACAATAAAACTTGCTTTTTAAAGTTTTTAGAACTCTGATAACTATTTTGCTTGTCTTTCTGACCAACAACTGAACATTATTCATGTTTCACCCTATCCATTTTTGATTTAGTAACGCCATTTTCACAGGGATTGCATAATTGATTGCTGCACCCAAGGCGAAAATATTATTGAAAAATATGTATTATAAAAACTTAATAATGTAAAAAAGTTAATAAAAGTTAACAAAAAGCAAATTACGATGCAGTCGTTTTGCGGCCCACGCTGTTGAATTGTATAAATAATACTCGATACATAATATCTTATTTTAGATGTCCAATGTCAAGGCTCAACAACAAAGTTACCATGTCCATATGGCAGCAATATATCGTCCAGTGAATGTGAGTACTACAACTGTTGCTATGACAATTCGTCTTCTCCAATATGCTACCAAAGAGCACCAGGTGAGTAGACAGGAGCATTAAGTTTTTCAAAATTATGATTTTATATTTCTTATTGCAACATCTTTCACGTGAAGATAATATTGGAATCCGATTTTCTTCACATAAATTACCTACCCTTGTTTGAACCATATTTCAGAATGTGTTAACTTGGCCTGTGGATATATAACAACCATAGAATGTCCAGTAGATAACATGATTCGAATAGCAAGAGTGACGAATACTGCTCGAACCACTTGCTACGGGATGGATATATGCGAAGCTCCGATTCGATACCCTAGAAACATCAAAACAAAATGCAATAACAAAACAAAATGTGCATTACCAAACAAGACCTATGAAAATGGTCAGGGTGAAAACTGTGCGACAATGGATGAGAGAGGAAAGTTCGTATATCATCCCACAACATCTCAAATAGTCTGCTTCAGATGTTATCCCATCCCAACTACTACCACTTCAACAACAACAACCACAGCATTACCAACCACAACCAGCCAGACTACTAATGTTACTGCAGATGCACATGCCAGTTCAGGTAGATTGCTTGTTATTTCATCCTTGTACAGATGGTGACATAATTCAATATCAGATATTCTACAAAGTGGGCCAAAAGTATAAACACATTTAAAAAAATGTATGGATCGAACTTGCAAGTATAAACGATATAGCTTAATTCCCAATATTTTCAACCATTTTGTATACCCAGAGGAAATTTAGAGAATCTTTAATGACACACAGTAAATGTCTCAATAAAAACGATTGGTTTTTGATTTAAAGGTAAGTTGATTATTCAGTATACCAAAAGAACAACGTGGTAGTATACAGTGTACATGTACCAATATATAGCAAATACTATTTACCGCTCGAATATTGATGATTCACTTATCATGTCATATATGGTGGTAGTTTTGACCATTTTGCATATGAATAAGATATTTAGAATGCTGATGACACTTTTCTTGACCCACCTTCTACGTTGTTGTTTCGGCTTATTTCTTCACACAAAGGTTTATATTCAAGATCCTCATTTCTATGATATCTTCATTTTACAACATTCACCAATTAAAATTGCTATTTTTTCATGATATATATTTTATTCGTATCTTTATTTTCACATCAGTTAACAGAAAAGTTTGTTGACCTATTTGATTTTACTTATCCAGGTCTTAATATTCCACTGATGCTCTTCATTGTGGTCCCAGCTATCGTTGTTGTTGTCGCTGTATTCACTATGTTGGGACTGTGGTACAAGTATAACTATAAACGAAATGGCAACAAGAGGTAATGAACCATGTGGCTAGAGTCTCAGAACTAACACCTACTCATCTACTTGTTTCTAATTCTAGCATGTACACATGTGACCGTGGGATTCAGTTTCAATTTGACCTTTCATTTATTAGCTTTTGGTCAACATGAATTCGTAGTACTAAATGATGGATATTTGTCTTTCAAAATTATTTTTTTAGAAAGTACCGTCTTTTAAAATATATATTTTCTGTTAATGCTTTCTTACTTTTTTATCTCCTCTGCAGTTGTAAGGTGACAAAACATGGTGATGATGGTCCTCCAAGCAACCAACAATTGATGGAACTTGAAGAAATAAGTCCTAATCTAACAACTGGAAATGAAGATGAACATGTACCGAATAAGTTTCACAAATATGAATATATACTTGATAAGATGGCCCCATCACTTCCAACGAGAAACTTCGGACCATCTACACAAAATATGAGTACATCATCAACTGGTATAGATCCCGTCTTAAATCATTTTCCAGAAAGAATGATTGATAAAAATAAAAATCCCTCTACAGCCTCTAATGCTCCTATGCATACATTTACAATTGAAGAAGACGAGGACTGTTATATAACACCTGGTTATCCTGAAAATAGGAATCCATCTGCATCCTCCAATTCTCCTATGTGTACATCGCCCTTTTTACAACAAAACGACAGTGCTGGTGAAAATACAGGCAACCCAGCTGTGCGTTATAAACTCAAGTCACGCAACTGTTTCATATTTGATGAAGGTAAACGTGGGAAATTTGTAATTTTAGAATTAGACGAAAATTCATAACCAATAATCTAAGGAACTGTAAAAGCGTTTCTGGAAATATTTAGACGATTGGAATAACCACTTAATTCTCCATTTCGCTGTTCGCTCTTTGAATCAGAACGTTCGCATATATGGTGCATATATGTACTCAAAAAGGACAAAATTTGATTGGTCAATATTTTTCAACGATGCATTTCGTGTAGCTATTTGTGAGACCCGAAAGTTCTAAATCAAATTAATTACGCAATTTTGTTTTTACACCCGCAAGCTAAATAAAAAAATGACACCATCGGAATTCTTCTTCTTTGTCATTGAATTAATAGTCAGTATACCAGATTTAATCAATAAAAGATTATACAATTAACAACAAAATTCGGAAACGAGTATGTAAGATTTGCTTTCGAACCACTAAACTTGACCTAGATAATAGCGACGTGTCTTCTTTGGTCAAATGCTCAGTTGTTTGTGGGTTTTCAACGTAACTCTATAATGTAATATGAAGATGAGTACTTTTATTCAGTTGTTGCATCGATGTTACAGTTTGTAGTGCGGTAATATTGGCATGAACGTGTTGAAAGTCGAATGGAATTGCTTTTTCCAATATGGCGACTAGTCACGTGACTTCTTCTCTTCCGGAATATACTCCCATTTTCAATCATTGTTTTCACCCCGTTAGGAGCCAATAAAATGAAAAAAAATATATGTTATATAAAGATTATTAAAAGACTAATTGTTTCTGATAGTTTGTTTTCTCCGATCGCATGGAGATTCGATCGAAAATATCGCTTGAAAAATGGGTATGAAAATCCCCATGTTAAACCAACGGGGAAAAACAAGGTAGAAAAATTTTGTTCCCCCGCGAACTGCATCATGGGAAATATTTTGACCTTATAAGGAAAAACTTTCGCGCCATCTTTATTAGAGATTCAATACTACCGAATCCGCGATTTTAAGAATTGGGCATCAAGACGGCAAGCAACTGTTGGGTCGGAAATTGATTTAATGATGCCAATCGTTCTCGATTCTAACAGAGAACACATACATCAAATCCAAACAACTTCTGATGGAGTTAAACGAACCGGAGATGTCAGTCAAAATGACTGCTAGCCTATTTGGCGTGACTTTTTTGTTATGGCTCCCACTAACCGTCGTTATGCTGTCGCACCATGTACTTAGTTATGGGCGCGATATTTGGGCGTTCTTCATCACCATGTACTTAGTTATGGGCGCGATATTTGGGCGTTCTTCATTTTAGTCGCCACTGGTGTTGATTGCTTCAGTTATGTCTTTGTAAACTGTTATTTCAGACGGGGATACAAGAAAGTGGTACGTTTTGTATTATGTGGATCATCAAATTGGAAATGTATCTGTAGCAGAAACAATAAAGTTCTCCCTGTTGAAAAATATTAAATGAGATACTATCAATGGTGATGAACCATGAAAACTCTTCATAGTCTTAAAGGGTGGCGCATATCGTTTAGCAAATCGAACGCTTGTTTCTGGCGTTGCTCACCGTTTAGTATAAAAGGCCCGATCCCGGAAATATACTGAGGGGTTCACAGCTCGAGGTCGATGTGTCAACACCTCTCACTGTTATGTAGCATTAGTACAATATAGATCGTCACACATTTAGTAAAGGGAGATTTTTATTTTGACAAATCAATTTGACATTTATGGGTGAAGTTTCAGGATCTTCTATTTGTGTATTATAAGGAAAAATTGACATATAAATTTTCTCATAACGTATTGTAGTACACAGCTTGGCATATGAAATATTCTCCAAATGAAACAAAGCAGTTTTAATACAAGGATTTATATTGATTGTTGTACATGCATTCTTTGAACAATCACTCTCTCAATAATGTTGCCAGAATCATTATAAACGGATTACTTTATCTCTGAGACAATTTTAATGAACTGGATTTTATAAATTCCCCTTTTATCTTAAAAATGGACTGATCCAATTGACTCGCCTGGAACCACCATATTGTTTTTATACGGGAAGCTTATCGGAACCCTTTAAAGCGTAGATTTAAAAAAATGCTCAGAAAAGAATAGCTTTTGATAATACATTTAGACCTTATACATTCTATGACTGCTCTGTACATAAAAGTATCATCAGGAAATGAAATTAAAGTTACTTTGCATTGCAAGTATAAAAAAGTTGGATTTGCCAAGTGTTCTTTTATTAAAAATGGACTCCATCGTGTATAAATAGGGGATATTTACTGAGAGGGGTTCAAGATGGGACAATATGATATTTCCCGCGTACCCGGGGGGGGGGGGGGGGGGCAGAGGGAAATATCATGTTGTTACGAGCTGAAACTAGGGACCCGACCAGTAAGTAAGCTTTTCATCCCATAATAGTCATATCTCTTTTTATAAAACCATTACTGATTTCTGTTTGAAACAAAAGCAGTCTACAAAATATGAGTGAACTGACATTTTGAACCGTACCATTTTTATTGTATAAACACATCAAAATAAAAAAAATTCAAGAAACCTGCAAGATACGTATTAATGCTCATCACAAGGTATTCGTCTATTGCTTGGTTGCTAAGATTTCCATGACGTTGACCGTCTGTGTCACTGTCAGAGCATGCTGACGAAACTTGAAATCGCCTGTATTTAAAAGGCTTTCATAGTTTCATACTTCTTACGTTTCAAATTTTTTATTTCGTTTCTCATCGACCAAACTGGTCCGAACGAAATAGAACGTTTTTTTCGGCAAAAATTCCCAGGGGTAAATACCATTTTCGTGAGCGAGATTAGGCGGGACAATACGATTTTTTCAATATCAAAATATTGCCGGTGTTATTTATCAGGAAGTAGTAGTATCATTGGATAATGTTATTTTATTTCAACTCTACTTAGTTAGCAACACAATAGACTGAGCTGTGTTTTATTTTTTAAGAATGTATGGTTTTATCAAAAGGAAAGTGCACCATTTTTCTATTGGTTTAAAAAATGTACACTTGGCTTGGTTTTGTCTGATATTGGGTTTATCCAATGATAAAAATCGATTTGTTGCTTAAAATGAGCCTCAACACAGGAAAACAGGCCTTATCATAAACATCAAAATTGTGCTACAGAGCCAAAAAATGTGCACAAGATTAAGAGGAAAATGCGCCAAATTCAAGTCCTTCTTTTTGGTCTATATCTACAAGGAAAAATTGTTAAGACATAAACCATGGCTCGTTGAAAATTATTCAAAAAATCTGTGATCAGAACCCCTTTTCCGTGCCCTGGCTCAAATGTTATTGAGCGAAAGTTAATTTGTTTATCATACACATATGCGGCTGATAAACTGTAGTTTATTGATATCCTACGCAGAGGCGAGTGGTAAATGAATCTTATAAAATAGCACACTTATGTTGGTTAGATCAGAAATATCGGTGGCTGTTGTCTTTTAGGGAAATCAAGTTAATTTGGAATAGGCAAAAAGATTGTACTGCAGTTAGAAATTATCATCGACATTTATGAAAATACTTACTGAAAATACTATGCAATTTCGTAAAACTGACATTTGATCAAAACATAGATGTCACATTTTAAACCAATCAATCATAAATCATCATAATATAAAGCCGTTCGATTTTGTCTTTTATGTTATTTTTCTCTAGGGTACATTCATTTTTTTAAAATTTAAATAAATCAAAAATGAGACTAGGAGCATTACATAAACAA